AGCAGCAGCAGCAGGAGCAGCTACCAAGCAGCAGCAGCATCAACAGCAGCTGCCAAGCAGCAGCTACCAAGCAGCACCACCATCTACCAAGCAGCAGCAGCAGCAGGGAAAGAGTGAGCTTTCCTTAGAATCTGTCGTGCCCCAACATTTGGTCTCGAACAATAGCACATATAGGTGCTGCCTGAGTACTTGTAGAAGGGCGACGTGGAAAGACAGATATATCTGATATATATGTGTTTTTCGCGAATAAATGCTGACGATGCAGCCAGCAGCGGTGTGCATGATTGACATCTAGGGGTTGTATGCGAACATGTGTCAGCTGCTCCCTGTCGCTCGAACATGGAACGCGGACTACCACGAGTGAAGCAAACAGCCCGTTCAAAAATCTTACTGGGTTCTGTCATTCATGTGTGAAGTAAGTATCATCTTTTGATCTGGATGGATAGCGGATAGTGCATTCTGATTTGTACTCTTGTGTGGGGTGGGTACATGCCTGTACAAGCTTCTTAAGGATATAATGAAATTAGCATCGTTTCACGACTCAGAGGGAATGCAACTACTCTCGATTCTAACGAATAGGCTTTCTTCAGCACCAACAGCAGCCAACAACCCCAAACAGCAACAGCAGCAAAACGGAGCAGACAGCCATGCAAGCAGCAAGCAGCAGCAACCAGCAAGCAGCCAAGAGCATCCAGCAGCACCAAGCATGCAAGCAGCAAGCAGCCAAGAGCCAGGTGCAGATGAGATGCCAGCAGCAGCAGCAGCAGCAGCAGCGACCAAGCAGCAGCAGCAGGTACCGAGGAGGAGAAGGGTGGAGTTGAACCCCGCGAGGGGGGGGGTCTAGTCCTGATATATCAGGTAATAGCACTCAGGTCCTCAGCTCCCACCCTCCTTGCTAAAGCAAGACAGACTCCAGCTAGCTTTCGTGATAAAGGGAAGTCTGTCTCAGAGACTTTTTGAGAAACAATTGCGTGGTAATTGTTTTGTGAATGCTTTCCTGTTCAGCACACGTTCACCCAGTAAGTGTGTTTCAACAAAGGAAATCAGTCGCCGTCGCAAAGGTCGCGAGCTGCTCGTCTCTTCGCGAAACACCCAGTGTCGCAACCCGTCGTCACTTCCTTGAAACTCCATTCATCCCCCACCAGGTCCGCCCAAGAGTCCCAATGCCGCAGTTGGGTTTGTACATGCCATACTTGGTGCCATAGACCGGGTGGTCGTAGTCGGGGTTGCCTAGACCGACAGCGACAGTCGACGGCTCATGACGAGGACTTGCTCCAGATGGGGATTTATCCATAGGGGAAATAAGCATCACCTGAAGCAAAACCAGGTGATTTGAACATCCAACAGCTTCCTGATGTGCTACCCAGTCGGCCTTCCATGTGACCCTCCATGTCGGCAGGCTCAGGTCAGTGACGAAAAAAGGTTTCAAGGGCCCAGAAACCTACGGAAGGAACCGGTTGAACCGGTAGAACTTCTGTATACACTTCCTGGAATCATCCTGGGAGTGGACGGCATGGCCCCTTTGAATTACCATTTTCCGGAATACCAATAGGTGGTTTCCACTTCCATCGATTGTTTTAGGGAGACTTAGTTTGTTTTTGTTTGTGGATTCCTGGAATTCCAAGAAGGTACAAATGATATTACTCGATGTTACCTTGAGTCTCCAAAGACCTTTTTTTTATGCGTTTTTGTTTTTGGTCTAATATTTTTGCGTTTTTGCTCGAAAAACGTGTTTTTAGAGATGAGGACTCAAAAAAAGGTGCAGAGTGAATCTTCATCCGGACGCGTCCGGCACGGACGCTTAAAGACGCCTTTTGGACGCAAAAAGACGCGTTTTGGACGCCGAAAAAAGGTCTCAGGACACTGTCTAAGGAGGATCTGACAGGGCACAAACAAAAAAGGAACATTTCGTGACATATGCAAAAAAGAGTGCTTTCTTTCAAAAACCTCTTTTTCTTGGAAAGGCAAATTTAAAAGGGTCATTGGAGACTCAAGGTACTTCTTGCCCGTATGACCCCATAGGCCCATAGTGCTTTCGATCATCTTGGATCCATATCCTTTTGCCTGAGCCGTTCATGTCTTCTGCCCATTCACGTACCCTAGCTTGCGCCACAGAACTGTGGGCTTTGCGGATCATCCAAAAACCGCTTCCAGGTGATTCTGCTGTTTCTTCAGGGAGTCTGTCGGCCTTTCTTTGTCGAGTTGGCATGAGTCACACCTGTCAAGTTGGAGCGCGCTTTCCTTGAACTTTGGTTGACCAGTCGCCTTCCTGTGCGCAAAATTGACCCTTGGCTGATGTTACAAGTGGCCTCAAAGGCCTGGAGGTTATTGGGCTGTATCCCCGAGTTCCACAGCTGAAAGCATCGTCAAATCTCGTGGCATCTGCAAACTATAGCACTGATCAACAGCTACTGTACCCTGCACATCCATCCACAGGGTTTTTGCGGTCGCCCCGTTGGGTCTTATGTTTTGGAGCAGTTCTTCGAAAACCTACACCATTGAACTCACTGATTTTATCTTCACGCATGCTTGCTAGCTGCTAGCTGCTTGCTATAGACTTCTTGTTACCTTCTTACATATAAAATCACTATTATATTCCCCAAAGAAAAATAAAACAACAGCACCCCGTTCCAACCTGGGACGACTTCGACCCCTGCCTTTGAAGGACTCGGGGAAGACGACGGCATCCTCTGCAGGTGCGCAGCCCACCTGAGCCGTTTGGCCCCACGGGACGACACGGCCGAGCCGAAAGCCAGCTGGAGCTGTCTCCGAGTCGGAGTTGAGATGGATGGCGCAGGCAGTTGGGCGGCGTTCGGCGAAACCGGCCGTTGGCCCAAAATAGGGACGTTCCTGTCGGTTTGAAAGTTCTAGTAAGGTTCAATCCACAGAACCCTTTCGTAAGGAACCTTTCGTAAGGTTCTAGTAAGGTTCATCCCAAGAAAAGGTTGAACAAGAAATGACCTGAACCAAAGGAATCACAGGAAACAACCCATGGTGGTTCATAAAGACATCTCCGAAACCACCTGGCACTGGGGATCTGTTTGCCTGAACCAGAAATCCAACCATCCATGGGAGAAGAGTTACTTCACTCGCCACCATGCATGGATCACTTTGAACATGGGGTCACTAATTATGTAACGATTCCAGTGCGATGGTCGGGGACACTTAGATTTGTTGCACCAGTTTCGGACACCTGCAAAAAAGAACTAAAACACACGCATATTCTCCAAAGGATTTCACATGATTCAACCAGTTCGGGAAAATGTTCATAAATCTTAAATCAGCCAAACCAGGCATAGATGGGGAAATGTGCTCGAGCAGCACATGGGCTCGGACGGGGCATCACAAACTTCCAAGATCTGACCGGTTGACAGGAGTTGTTCGCTGTGGAAGAGACCCACGTGGGTTGCTGAGAACAACTGGTGAATGCAGAAGAAGCTGGTTCGCTTCCTTGACAGGTGCTTTTGCAGGTTCCACCTCAATCATCCCGGGTTTAACCTGGGAGGACTGATCCAGCCTATCAATGCTTGGCAGTTGAGGCGTCATCTGACACTGCGGGTCGTTGGATTCGCGAATGGAAAATCCAACACAAATTGCATAGAAAGAGGACAGTTCACTGATCCATCAAACATCACCAGCTTGACCAGTCAAGTTCCGATTTTTGGTTTGGAACGTTTTGATTCTTAGTTCATGCCAAGCCTGTTTGATGTGCTCAAATGCTGTTCAACTGCTTTCATCGGTCTGGCCGCAAAACATGTTGATACAAATTCGACTGTCCAGGACGAAATCTTGGTAAGTCATGGTGTTTCACCATCGATCCCAGCCGCCCCGACCCAACGGCCCCACCGACTCCTCTCCCCGCCGCATCCGCCGCCTCCTCCGCCTCCCGACTCTTCTCCAGGAGACGGGAAAGGTGTCTCCCACGACGGCCCACTGCTCGAGGAGGTCCTCGCCGGCGATCTTTTTCAAGGCCATGACTTTGCCCATGTCATGCAACAAGCCCACCTGGCAAGGCGAAGTCAGCAAGGCAGAACAAATCCCCCCACTTAGCATGTAGGCAGTGACTCAAAATAGTGATGTGCTGCATCTCCAGTTCAACTTGACACCACAAGCTGATCGCACCATGAAACAAAGCCCAGACGCTCCATGGGACTGCCATATATGCCTACATTGGGGTGGTTTGGGTGGTCAATGTAGGCATATATGGCATACATGAAGTGTATGGGAAGTGGCTCTTAAGATTGAATATTTAAACGGGAGCAGACAGTCGACAATGTATGAAGCCAGCACAAATAAATGACAAAAAACAAGGTTGGTTCAATTCCAGGAAATATGACATACATTAATGTATGAGTATACAAAAACACAACTTGCTTGTTCACACTTGTGGCTTTCATTTTGACGCACGATATGAGGTGTACCGAAAGATTAATACATATTTATATAATATATACTAGGACCCACAAGGGGTGGTCAATGGACACCCCTTTACCTCAAAGGGGCTATCAATAGACACCCCCAAACGGGTGTCCTGGTACAGCCAAAGCGAACCCCCGGCCCCGAAACCACCCGAACGGTCGCCGTCCGATGCCAACTGAGCAGCCAAATGGAACCAGTCATACTCCTGGCGCAGTGGAAAGACTCGAGAAGCGGAGAACGACACGAGGTGCTGACTGACCTAAAAATACATTGAAACAAGATGAGACAGGTTGGTTAGAGGGGTTGGTTAGAGGGGTTCCCTCTCTCAAGGCTTACACAGAAATTCAATCACATGACTTGTGCATGGCCGCGGCGCTGTAACAGAGACCACAACTGGATGCACAAAAATTAGCACCAGAAAAATGCTTTAAAAAACCTTTAGATCCAATTGGATGGCACTCTCACCACAGGAACTCCTTTTTTCACTCTCATCTATGGGCCCTCCTGCCCGGTGAAGCCATGGGAAGTCACAAAACCCTTCCATCAAGCAACACATCAGTAGGTTGTGAAAAAAGATATACCTCAAGTAGCATTAAATAGGTCAAGTGGTGTTAGTCTATAGTAGTAGTTGTTTCGGTCCTGTGGGAATTGGGACGTGCTTTGTCTTTAAATGCTTTCGTGGGGCTGGGTTGTGTGGGCAATACGACGGTTTTTCTTTTAAAATGATTTCGTGGGGCGGCCCGGGCAACCGGGTGCTGCTATTCCCTGTAAATGCTTTCGTGGCGCCGGGTCCTGTGGGAATTGGGGCGCATCCGGGGCGGCGCTATTCCCTGCAAATGCTTTCGTGGGGCCGGGTCCTGTGGGGACGGGGGCGCCGCTTTGCCTTTAAATGCTTTCGTGGGGCTGGGTCCTGTGGGCAAGCCGACTGCTTTTCCTTTTCAAATGCTTTTGTGGGGCTGGCCATTGGAAACGGGGACGCTGCTTTTCCTGCGAGCGCTTTCGTGAGCCGGGTCCTGTGGGAATTGGGACGCCGGTTTGCCTTTAAATGCTTTCGTGGGGCTGGTCCTGTGGGCTCATTTTTCCTTTTAAATGTTTTCGTGGGGGCCCTGTGAGAATTGGGGCTGGGTTCTTCCTTCAAATGCTTTCGTGAGGCTGGGTCCTCTGGAATTGGGCGGGCCGCTTTTCCTTTAACTGCTTTCATGGGGCTGGACCCTGCGAGCCGGCGCGCGGAACCGGGGCTCGGCCTTCCCTGTAACGGCTTTCGTGGGGCTGGGCCCTGGGGACCGGGGCGCCGAACCGCGGGGCACGGCTCTGGCGGCTGGGTCCTGGCAACGCTTGCGTTTCTAGCCTTTCCCTTGTGTTTTTCCTTGTGCTGGTGCTATTTTTTGTGCTCCCAGTTGTGCTTTTTCTGGTGCTAAATTTCGTCAAATCTGGTGCTAAATTTCGTCAAAGCTGGTGCTAAATTTCGTGAAATCTGGTGCTAAATTTCGTCAAATCTGGTGCTAAATTTCGTCAAACCTGGTGCTAAATTTTGTGCATCCGGTTGTGCTTTTTCTGGTGGTAAATTTCGTCAAATCTGGTGCTAAATTTTGTCAAATCTGGTGCTATTTTTTGTGCTTCCAGTTGTGCTTTTTCTGGTGCTAAATTTCGTCAAATCTGGTGTTTAATTTCGTCAAATCTGGTACTAAATTTCGTCAAATCTGGTGCTGTTTTTGGTGTTTCCAGTTGTGCTTTTTCTGGTGCTAAATTTCATCAAATCTGGTGCTAAATTTCGTCAAAGCTGGTGCTAAATTTTGTGCATCCAGTTGTGCTTTTTCTGGTGATAAATTTCGTCAAATCTGGTGCTAAATTTTGTCAAATCTGGTGCTTTTTTGTGCTTCCAGTTGTGCTTTTTCTGGTGCTAAATTTCGTCAAATCTGGTGCTAAATTTCGCGCGTCCAGAATGAACCTGCGAGCCAAAAGCAGATCGCTCGGAGCACTTGGCCTCAGCAGCGTTTGACTTTGTCGTGGCCGCCTGTGCAGTTTCTGGCGCTTTCCTGGTGCTTTTTCCGGTGCTAAATTTCGTCAAATCTGGTGCTCTTTTTTGTGTTTCCAATTGTGCTTTTTCTGGTACTAAATTTCGTCAAATCTGGTGCCTGTTTTTGCGCTTCCAATTGTGCTTTTTCTGGTGCTAAATGTCGTCAAATCTGGTGGCCCATTTCGTCGGCCAAGCAGCTGTTAGGGTTTAGGGCTTAGGGTTTATAGGGTTTTGTGAAGATTTGGTTTCGTCTTGGCCTCTGTCTAACCTGCAAGCAACAGGAGGTTGGAATCGTGACCTCCACTTCTGTTCCGCGGCCGGTCTTTTCGAACCGTTGCTTCTAGTGATTGGTGTGCTAGATTGTCACATGAAAATATTTCACTTATATAGATATGTCAAATCCAGCAATGAACATGTAGACTGCTGGTGTTGGTCTGGTGCTGCGGCTGGCTGCGGCTGGCTGGGGCTGGCTGGGGCTGGCTGGGGCTGGGGCTGGGTGCTGGGTTGTTGGCGCTGGTGCTGGTGGTGCTGGTGGTGGTGCTGGTGGCGCTGCTGCTGCTGCTGCTGCTGCTAGTGGCGGCTGCTGGGGCTGGTGGTGGTGGCCGCTGCTGGGGCTGCTGTTTGGTGCTGGGGGTGCTGGTGGTGGTGGTGGTGGTGGTGATGGCTGCTGTGGTGCTGGTGCTGGTGTGGTAACAGAGGAGAGGAGAGGAAAGGAGAAGAGAGTGGAGGGGAAGAAGGGGAAGAAAGGGCAGGAGGGGCAGGAGAGGAGTGGAGGGGTTAGCATATTCAAAATCCATTTGGAGAGGCCCCAGGTAATGATGAATTATCTAGGATTTCCTGGTGCTAATCTTCGCTGGTTGTCTTAATAAAGAAACCTTTTTGCAGAGATACAGGGGGGTGGCCGGACTCAACACATGACGCCCAAATCCCGAAAATGACTATAAATGAATAAGCACGCACCTACTACGCACCTCTATCTAAAAACACCCACACACACACACACACCACTATATAACAGTCGACACAAAACACACCACGATCATCACTTCAGGCCACTGTGTCCCCCTCTGTGTAACCACCATCGCTCACCGCCACGCTCATCCCGTCTCCTCTCCAGGCCACTGCTCTCGGATCCGCTCAGCGGTCTGGAAGTCGTGGATGCTGTTGGGGATGTCCACCTGATCGACGCATCGACGGAGAGGCGCGGAGTGGGTCGCGCGAGGACCGGAGGAGGTCCCCAAGCCTCGAACCGACCCGGGTTTTGAAGTGGAAGAAGCAGGTGGAAGATTGATCAAGATCCCAGCGAATCAAACCGAATCAAAAAAATACAAGTTCCAAAGAACCTTTGAGAATTGAATGAATCATCTAACTACCTATGGAACAAGCATGTTAACATATAACAAGTGTGTTTGATCATAGATTGATAGCTTGGGTCTAACTTCGCCGGTTTGCTTAACAACCCGTATTCTACATTCAAGGTCAGTTAGCATAAGAATGCTGAAGTGACCCGAAGTTCTTCACACTACTTCCAGAAGAACTCCTTTCTGCGGATCCTTTTGATGTTTCGGTGTCTTTCGAAGTGTTCGATATGTCCGTCTACAACTCCCTTCACCCACTTCTTGAGGCCTTGGAGAACCGGAGTGTCAGCCTGCAGAATCGAACCCTTCCTGCTTTTCTCTTCTCCCAGTCACATCGGGATCACTGTCGTCCACCAGTTCGTCCAACATCTCGATCGCCTGTGCTGAAGAAGCTGAAGAGCAGGGACTATCTATAGTGGAAAAGCCAGCACCGACACCTTCTGAGGTGTCTAGGAAGATAGCCTCGTTTTAAGAGGTGATGACCGGGGTCTCCCAAAACCACCAGGCCTGGAAGGTCCTGGTGTATATATATATATATATGTATCATGGAAGTGGAACATGATCCCTTCGATGACCACTAACTACCAACAGGTGGTGAAGACTTCCACTTCCGATTCCAGGGAGTGTACCCCAATTGCTCGGGATTCCTGCGGAATTTGTTGGGGTTAGTTGGAAAATATACGACTATAGGATTCATACTGATAAAATGGCATTCGTGTGGCCTTCTTCGGACGTAGAAAGGGAAATAGAACGACCTTCTAAAGACTGAAGCACATGGTTTGGGTCTATCCCATTATATAATTACCAGTAACAATGGATGATGATGGTTTGTAAAGGCCTTTCTCGAAATTACATATAAAGTGATAACTGTTTAAAGGCTCCTCCAGGTAACACGACAGACCCAGCACATGGTCCACATGGTGCTGCTGCTTCTTCCCTGTGAACAGTTCCGGATCGACCAAGATCACTTGGACCATGTGAAGCAGGTAGTTGACCCTCCCCAGACCATCCATGGGACTGGAATAGCTGCCGTATACTATATTACATGGATGGGTCCAATCTTCATGGAAACTCTGTGCAAACTCCTTCTGTCGTCCCATTCGGTCTAGACTGAGTCGAAACAAACACCGAAGCAGACACCGGAGTCCCCGGACCCCGGTTGACCGGTCTGTTCTGAACACCGTTCGGGAGGTCTGTCCCCGTGGCGCCATGGTTGGAAGCCATTACTAGTAGCTTCTTGTTACTACTAGTAAGGCACTTGTTACTAGTAGCGATGCACTTGTTACTAGTAGCTTCTTGTTGTCCTGTTTCTGATGTAGAAGGCCAATGTGGTTTAAGATGCATCCCAACCCGGCCCCTCCAGCCGGAAGTGCCATGCTTCCAACGCGCGGCTTGCTTTTGCAAAGAAGTGGTGTGACATGTCCCAACATCTGAGATGATCTGCAAAATGGTGGCGGCATACTGACCCTGGTAATCAATCACCCTGTGTTTTCAGATATATACCTCCTTGGTTTTGCCAACCCATGTGTGTGTGTCAAAGTCAACCACCCCAGTCAACCATAGGTTCTGTGGCCATCAACACCATCCTCAGTCAGCTGTCAACACCGTCCTTGAAAGTGACTCGGGCAGCGGGCTACGCATGACCCACAGCTACAGTGGTTTCTATTCCGTTCATCGCTCGGGCGGCCCGGTCGGTGTCCCGGTGACCCACAGCGGACGGAGAGTCGCCCACATCCGCCTCCATGATGGTGAACTCCCCATGGTTGAACTTCATCCACTTCTCCTGCATGCCTGACTCGAGTCAAACCCAGACACCACGAGGCCGGAGATCGAGATCGGACCTCGAAATCGGTGACCTCGCCGGACGTTTCGGGGGGGAAATCGACGACTCCACGGTGACGGGTTTCGTGTGACCCACGGACGACCTGCACCTTCAGCGTGGGAAGATTGGAAAGTCTGGATCTACCAGTCATGGAGGATCAAAGCGGCCGGACACCTTCGAAAGGGTCCGGATCCTTACACCATTCAAAAAAAGAGCTCGTTCAAGTCAAGGAACAGAATCGAAGCCCCATGGATGTGGCTCCAAAGACATTTAAACATAATACGAGCCCAAGGACCCAAAGGCCTCTTTTGGCTTCGGTCTAATAATGGCTTTTTGCTGTGGGTTTATATACCACATTAGAATTTCATTTATATAAGTCTTTGGGGGTTTGATTGTCAATCAGAACAATATGAGACCCAAACTGCTGTTTCGAGGGCGAAGTACTAAGGCATCAAAGAATCAATTTCAGCACGGGGGGGCTATAGTGAGTTAGATCTCTGACACGGCGCCAGGATGACAAAACCACCAGAAATCGCCATGTCAAACATCCCCAGGATGAACAACAAAGCATACCTATTGAAGCCAGGGTCGCATGCACGCGCTCCAGGGTCGGCCAGGGTCTACTTGGGGGCCTCCCCATGAGCCTCACAGGGCCTCTCTACAAGCATCCATGCCTGAAGAGTCTGAGGAGTGTGTGGGTGTTGAACAAACATCCTGATTCAACACGAGATCTGCCCTTAGAGCAAAGGTCACTCCATCAACGGAACTCCAAACCCTACGTACGTCCAGTCCGACCCAGTAAAACCTGATCTTTTTCCATATAAGTATAAACTGGTTTTGTATCGTCTTCGAAATTAGCATGGTGGACCTAGGATACCCCATTTTGTACTATAAAACGGTTTTGGGTTTACAAAATGCAAGGCGCATCGTTTATTCAAGTATCGAGCTACTACAAAATGACTGGTTTGCACCACTCTCGAATGCTGATTTCTTACAAAATGATGGTTCCCAGTGGCAAAATTTGGGAGGTATGAGACATGGTACTTCTTACAAATGATTGTTCCCAGAGACATATCTGTGCGCTTGTAGATAAACTTTTTTACACATAGACATGGCATAGGCATTTTATACCGTTTCAAGAATTAATGCTACAAAATAATGTGCTGATATGTGACGTGCGCGTGCTACACATTCCTTTCTTACAACCTGAAAGTGATCCTAGGCATGGCTTTTTGTAGCATCTTTATGTCTCTTACAAAATGCAAATCCTGATTGCTCTCGGAAGTAGCCGAATCCTTACAAAATGCAAATCCTGACAAAGTTGTCTCTTACAAAATGGCATGGCCTGCCACCCAGTAAGATCACCAAATGTACCGCTACAAATGGCTCAAAAAATACTTCTTACAACATGGCTACTTAAAATGGATCCTAGGACACCCCATTTCGCAAGGGAAACGTCAAAGATGATGGTTTGTATTGCCATCTCCAGTAAAATGAGGTCCAACTGACTTGAAGGGAAAGGTCACTCCATCAACTCAAGAGATCTGTCGGCACGTGTTTACACATGGGGCTGGCTCGCGAATGACCTGAAGCCCGACCAGACCAGTTAGGTCAACCGGTCGGTATCGACAGCACAGCCTCATTGGTGTGCCTTAAAATTGGGGGACATCCCAGGCAACGACCTCCTGGAAGAAGGGAAATAGACCAGTCTACAGTCTACCTGGTCTACAGTCGGGCCCCTTGCCTACTAATTGACACACCCGTGCTGTTGGTCACTTTGAAGAGGCCGTGCCAACAGCCGGTCACCATGGTGGTTCGTGCTGTCACCTGCCTGCGCCGAACTCGCCGAGGCACTCTTCACGAACTCCACCGTTTGTTTCTGGTGCATCTCCCCGTAGGTCTTTTCCACCACACTCTGCCGCGTGGAGCTCTCATAGTTACGGTACTCCCCGCCAAACCTGGGGAGACAGGTTTCAACCAAATGGTGGACAGGATTGGTGCATATGGGTTCACTCAATAGCATGGGTCACTGGAAATATATTCACCCTGAATGACCGAAGAAGGCATGGAAGGGGTGTTCCTGGGTGTTCTTTTTGATTGGATCTTTCAAAGGTTGAGGACATGTTGAAGAGCAACTCAATAAACACAGCTCTAAGTGGCTCCATGTTGTTTTCCAGACATCTGAAAGACATCTGCAGGAAAGCTGTTGACATCTGAAAAAAAAGAAAAAACAAAAACACCTCATGAGATCTATTTTAGACATCAGTTTGCTCACTACACCAACAAACTCATGACTAGAGCTGGTTGCTTCTGGTGTCTTGACTGGAAGAACATCAGACTATTTTGTTAAAACGTTGAACAACCAAGAAAACGCAAGACAAAACGAAGATCCATCTTGAGATGTCTGCCAAATCCTGAATTCGAAGAACGACACGCCTGTTACATGGTACTCCATGGAAGCAAAGCTCCCATCTGCTTAAAATAAATATACGTGGCCCAATCATCTGCAAGTGACCCAACACGTGTGTTTCACTGACCCAACTCTTCCATCAAAAAACATCGACAGCCTTTCCCGTTGGATGTCGCATGTTTGCTGCCCACCAGTGTTGTTTGCCCCAAGTTGGTTGGGGAGTCAGGAGTCAGAATCTTGTTTTATGCGGTTCACAAGGCGTGGCCAAGGCGTAGACCGAATTGTCTAATGATCTAGTGCCATCAAGGTTCAACACCCTTCCTGTTAGGTGCAATGTGTCCTAAACTCAGGCCCCACAACAACGGGTCACGTGGTTCGCACAGTTCAGCTGAAGCATTCAGTAGTCGGACTATGCTCCCTAGTTGGGCTCACTATTAACTGGACTTCTCTGGGCTCACTATTAACTGGACTTCCCTAGCTCTCAAAAAGTGGTTTACCTGCAGTGTCTATTATCAGCCATGTCTGGTCCAAAGTGTTGGCTAACCACCTCGCTCACAGGCAGCTGATATTGAATTGTCTGGCCCGACAATGAGTGCGTTTTAAAATAGAAAACAACACCATCGCCATCCATCGCACATATAGACATGATCAACACCAAACCCATTAGGTAAGAGGGTGGAAACCACATTCCACGCATGAATCCTTTTGTGAAAGCCACATGTTCTTCTCCGCGAAAGGCTGGTAGCCGGCAAACTCAGCGTTGAGACCCATGACCGCGAACGAGGCCAGCGGGTCAAACGACGGGCGGTGGAGGTGCGCGAAGATCTTGAGCCACTGTGCACATCCAGCGGAAACCCATGAATCATTGCAGGTGGATGCTTTCTGTTTCATGTTGTTTTCCATCCCGAAACCCATCCCAGACCTGACGAAAGGGACTGGAATAGTGACAAACGTTCAAAGATTTATAAGCCTAAGGTAGGTAACTATTGCCAGTCCTATGGATATTCTGGGCCTGATGGTCTGGGCATGTTGGTCTTCAACTGGTCTTCAACTCTTTTCCCCGAACAGGTTCACTGGGGTCGTCCCCCGGTTCCACTTTTCGTGGGATGGTCACACAGACCGCTGGAGACACCGTCAAAGGCTGGAACAGACCGCTTTGGGCTGGGCTCATGAAGTGTGACGAGGCTCACTTGGCATAGTGGAAGTGAACTGGTGATTTCATCTGTCAACATTTGGCTATTGAATGATGTTCAGCGTTACTCGTCTACCCCTCTGTACACGATAATTTGCTGGTCCAAAAAGATCCGATCCTTTTTGCGGATTTCATGGTCTGCCATGTTTCATCGGGACATGCTACTGTGCTCGGTTCTTTCCCTTCAAACATCCGGCTGAAACACATCACGCACTCGCCACTCGGGAGCCGTGATCAGCCCTCAAAACCGAAAGGACAAGTGCACAAGTTCCTTCTTCTTCCAAAGTGGAATATGGATATCCCGGTAGCTCCTTATCTCCATCCAAACCACCAGCTAGCAGTTCAAATACCGGCGATTTACGCCAGCTGCTACGATGGTTCAGAATTGGTGTCAAATCGATATTCATCTTCTCACGCGATTGCATGACCTTCACAAACCCAGCTTTGGCATCAACACACTGCTATCCTGGTGTTTCTCCTCTGCCAAAAGGTGTTTGTTGCGTGTGGTCGCCCAGTGGGCCTCACTCCCGTGCATAGGAAAACACAAAAAACCTTGAACTATATAGCACCACACATCGAAACCAGGCCCTCTCCCTAACGTCACGACAACTCTCGTTCGGGTTAGCAACGTTCTCCTATCCATGCTGCCGGAGAGGTAGACGTTGGGCTGCATGGGCACAGCACGCAGCGACATGATCTTCAGCCCATGGATGCCGGGCTTCTCTCCTCACAGCACCGAGCGACCCAAGGAGGATCCGCTGGGAGTCACTGGGAGTGGCACTCGAAAAAGGAAGATCTGCTAGCTTAGCTGCTACATGGAGGGAGATGTTCTAAAGATGTCTAAAAAACCACGGATTGCAAACGCAATATAGGCCACAGATTGCAGAATTTGTGAGGTCAGTTGCTTTGAGAAAAACATGAAATTGCTGGTGAGCTGGGCACTGGAGTGACGTCGCCGCAGTGTGGGACCTCGAGGGATGGATTTTCGAGGTGTTTCTTTATCCAACACATACTAGGACCCACGGTCGGGGTGGTTAATGGACACCCCGAATCACCTCTAAGGGGCTATCAATAGACACCCCTGGCCCGGGTGTCCTGGTACATGGTGATGAAGTACCCAAAAAACATTCTGCATGGAACTGGCATGGAGCTGGCATGATAGTCCTTCCATCTAAAACCTCTGCGCGCTTCACCAAGCACGTGATGTACGGGTGGAACCTCTTCGCGGATGGTCGGGCAGTGATGGTCGGGCCCTTCCAAGCTGAACGGTGGAGGGCGAACGAAACCACCAGCACCGCGAAAGGGTGGCAGCTTAGACGTCCCTGAGAATCTGGGCCCGGATCTGAGGGTCCTACTTGAGAGAGGAGGGTGGTGAACGAAAGGTAGCAGGGAATCAGGCGTAATCCGGGAGGAGGTGAGAGGCCCCCCACTTGTTTGAAGAGAAGTGAGTGAGCGTGATGAAAGAAAAGCTAATGCACAAGCGCTTGACAAAACCTCCAGAAGCTGTAGCGGTCTAGCGGTTTCAATACAGGTTGACGTGCCTTCAAAAGGAGTCACATATTTCTCAAATGCAACTTCGGATTTACATAGTGACGTGCGGCGACCCTGTAAATTGCGTGGCCGCAGGCCATGCTTGCAAACAGGACGTGCTCAAAAACACTGGTATTTACGAGGTTTCGTTGCCGTCGATCCACAGCCGCGGCAAGGTCTAAGGCCACGCTTGAAGACAGGAGGAGCTGAAAACACTGGTATTTACGGTATTTTGTAGCCGTCGATCCAAAGGCGCACCACGGTTGAGCGCTGGAAAAGCGCAGAAAACCGTGTAAATACCGGCGTTTTCTGCCGGGAAGGTGCACAAAACCCTGTAAATACCATAGTTTTGTGCAACTTTGAAGCCTCCAAAAGCCTCAAAAACCCTTTCTGACAAAATTTTTCCTGGTTTTTGGTCTTTTTTCGGTCATTTTTCTAACCGAGACGCATCAAAAACAATCGGTTTTTGCGGTGTTTTTTGCCGGACAGCCACAAAAAACGCTGTAAATTCCATGATTTTTGGTCACTGCTGAGGACTGGAAGAGCTGAAAACACTGATATTTACAGTGTTTTCGAACGGTTGACCCCGAGGCGCGCTAGGGTGGAGTTGAAAGGGGGGGGGGGCCCCCCCCCCCCGGCCAGCAAACGAAGATGTCGGGGACCATTTCTCCGAGAGATAGGCTGCAGCTCTGGGTTAATACATTTTTGCTAAAGCAAAAGGAAAACTCAGGTAGCGTAACCGCTACCTTTCGTGAACTGCCATGGAGAGCCCGGACTCGGATTCTTCGGGCGCTCGAGCCAATAGCCACCCTTTCTGCGGTTTTTGGGCATCAATTGTGTTCAAATCCTTACGGTTACGTGGGCACGCGTGACAAGCACGGCTTCCCCCCCCAGTCCGCCGCCAGTCCACACCGTCCCTCCTCGCGTGGCGGCAGCGTTGCCAAAGACCAACTCGGGTGTCATCTCTTTTCCCTTGTTGGCTTTCAACCTGGGCACTCGGTTGGGGCTGCAATGTTAATATGCAGATTCTTTGTTCATTGTTTTGGAATCGATGTTTTTTTTGGGGGGTTTGCTAGGTTGCTCCCATTGTTTTGGAATATATAACGTATTTCCACATTAAAATAACATTTAATAATGTGTGTTTTTGGTGTTGCTAGGTTGCTCCTTATGGGGCTCTAGGAAGCTTCCCAGGCAGCATTTGTCCCCTTTCTCCCGCCCCTGGCCGTTCATCGAGTGTCGTATTTGGGGGTTCAGAGTTCAGAGTTCATAAACTGCCTGGGTCGAGCTTTTGTTCGGCTGTGGTTCGACTTTCCCCCGTTGACTTGCCTTGAACAAGGGCGCTGGGGTGAGGGCGCGGCACCATCAGTGCCAGGCCACCGACCAATAGCCACAACCAAACACCAGCCCAAACACCACGGAAGCCTCCGAAGTCAAAAGTGACAGAGGCCAGCCCAAAGCCCAAAGAAGCCATAAGAAGCCACACAAGCCGCTTGAGCCACAAAGGCCAAGAGCTCTATATAAGAAGACAAGAAAGCCACAGAAGCCAGAGAAGCAACAGCTTCGCAACAGGTAGACTGTACGGTAGACTAGTAGAACCAACACATCATCCCTCAAAAGAACACATGCAACAAGAATGGTCCCCTCTTGATGGCTCCTATGGTCCAACCTCTGCTGTTACATGACGATGTGAAGGGTGGACATGACATCGCTTAATGCTCGAAAGGTGAGACGGAGGAACACAAGCGGCTAGACATGGTGTTACATGTTACATTCAAAGTTACATCAATTCCCTAGGGATCCATGGTTTGGTGGTGAGCCCTACGCTGACCTGATCGAGTTGTAGGGAAGATCCTTTAGATAACCATATATAACCCTGGGGATCCAGTCGTACCTTCTCAGGTTCGGTACGACTGGACCCTCCAGGCACCTGCATCACAGTGTAGAACACATCACAGGCACCCTGAGGTTCGGTACGACGGGATCCATAGGGAAGGTACGAAGTCACACCCTCAATGAAGCTTCAAGATCTTCCGGACTCCGGCTCCATCGGCTCCATCTCTTGGAACAATATGCACTTTAAAATTCTGACTTGTGCTTAGTATAGGGAATGAGTGGCTGGATCCAAAGGAATCTCTGGAATCTCATTCCCTCATTCCCTACAAACAGTCGCACCAGTCAGACTTTGGAAATGGCATATGGCATACTCACTGCTAGTGACCTGCCTTGCCAGCCGTCAGAATCGAATGGATGGACCCTCACAGGCTAGAATCGGCTAGAACCCCTCGTGGGGAGGTAGGCTGACTCCTGGTGAACGTCTCTTCGCCGCACACTCCACGGCGTCCACGGCTTCCAGGCGGGAGTTGGGTCCGTTCGGTGCACGACTCGTCTCACCAAGAAGAAACCATACATGCCAAGCACAATAAGCTGTTCCATAATAAGCATGTTCCATATGTGGTTTGAACAAGCAACACCGGTTCGGTTCAGCATCTTGGAAGAAGCTCACTCTGTTCACCATTCCAGGGGTGATGAGTTTGGGGCACTGGTGCGACGCAAATAGGGGACTGAGGGAAGGAGATCGCCCCCTGTCTAGAGATTCTTTTGGATCCAGCCATCCTCGTTCCCTACAAGTCGCAAAGGTCAGTTGGTTTGCTGAACAAATGTTAATTCTCATCGCATCACCTGTGGCCCACCCCTTGATGGCTGGATCTTGAAAATCTTGAGTGGGGAGTTGGGGACCTGCAGATGATAGTTTCATCCGACACCTCCTAGACGAACAGAATCGCTGAAAATAAGGAAAACATCCCAAAGGGCTTCACACATCTCCACTGCCACACATCTCCCAAAGGTGGGGTCTTGACCACCCACATCAATACCTGTTCAAAAATGGGGAATTCTTCAGAGTTCTTCCCAGAACCCTCGGATCATCCAACTCGGAGGTCCCTGCCAAGGTCTGGTTTCATACGTACCTAATCACCTTCGTTCGACCAGTCATTACTTGGACCACTGACCCTCCGGATCCCTACGGGCCTTTCAAGAGCCTAACCTCTGTAAGTATCATCCTCCTGATGCCAAGCAGCTGTCCCACGTCGTAGAGCTTTACTACCTTCTCCTGCCACGCCGTGCGATGTCAGGAACGATGTCAGGGTTTCCTTGAGGATTTCCTTGCACAGAACCAACTCAACAGTGAAGGTATGCCAGAA